AAAAATCATAAATTCGTTTCTTTAGCTATGTCTGAACTTTTTAGAAAAGCAATGCGTTATTGAAGTTAAAGTAAACCTTTTTGTGTGTTAATTCCGTTGACTGTTTCAGTAAACTCAAATGGTAAAGAGAGGCTTATTTTTAGATTTACGTCATATTAATAAGCACGTGTTAAAAGGAAAGTCAAGTTTGAAGGTCAGAAAGAAGCTTTAGATTTTTGTCATAAGGGTAATCTAATGTTTAAGTTTGATTTAAAATCTGGGTATCATCACGTATCCATAAATAAAGAATATCAGACTTATTTAGGATTTTCTTGGGTAGAGAACGGTGTTCATAAATATTTTGTTTTTACAGTTCTCCCTTTTGGAATATCTATAGCTCCATGGTTGTTTACTAAACTTTTAAGGCCATTGGTTAAATACTGGCGAGGAATGGGTCTTAAGATAATTGTATATCTGGATGACGGTTGGGGTACAGATAGCCCAGAATTATGCTATAAAGTAAGTTCATAGGTTAGGGAGGATTTAATTAGAGCAGGTTTAATAGCGAATGAAGAAAAAAGTCAATGGGAACCTTGTTCCGTCCTAGAATGGTTGGGAAGTTTGTGGGATTTATCTAAAGGTCTTGTAGAAGTTCCAATTAGGAAATTTGATAAGCTTAAGCACATGATTTCAAGTTGTATGCAGAATCAAGGGAAATGTACAGCACGTTCATTAGCAAAAATAGTAGGAACAATAATATCAATGTCATTTTGTTTTGGGAATGTATGTCACATTATGACACGAAATCTTCATGTTCCCATAAGTAACAGCGTTTCATGGGATGCAATTGTTTCGCTAGATTCCCCGTCTTTGGCAGAGTTACATTTTTGGTTTAAGAATTTAGAGTTTCTTCCCTTTAGGTCGATAGTGTCTCTCGGTAGAATGCCAGAGAGAATTTTGTTTGTCGACGACAGCAATCAGGCGGCGGCGGAAGTTTTATTAAGCTCAATTAACAAAGTTTCTAGAGTCACATATACAGAAATAGAGGTTAAACAGAGTTCAACATTTAGGGAGTTACGTTCTTAGAGTGTAGTTCGCATTACAGTCCGTTGAGAAACATTTGAGTGGTAAATTTGTTAAGGTTTATACTGATAATCAGAATATAGTTAGAATTTGCAGTCATGGAAGCACAAAAGTTATTTTGCAGGCTATTTCAAAAATAATATTTGACTTTCTGTGTACAACACAAATACTTCTGGAATCATCTTGGGTTCCAAGAGATATGAATGTAGAAGCTGACGCTTACAGTAAGATTTTGGACTTTGATGATTGGGCAGTTTCACTCTTAGTGTTTCAATATTTTAATAATGTGTGGGGTCCGTTTCATATTGACAGATTTGCTGATAATAGGAACAAACATGTTGAAATATTTAATTCTCAGTTTTGGTGCCTGGGACATCAGGAGTAGATGCATTTGCGTTTGATTTGTCAGGAAAGGAATAATTGGGTAGTACCTCCTGTCCACTTAGTAAACAGGGTCATTCAACATATGATTAAATGTGGGGCAGAGGGAACTTTAGTAGTCCCTAAGTGGAAATCTTCCACGTTTTGGCCCGCTATCGTCAACACGTTTACTGGTTCATACAGGGAATTTGTAGTTGATTTTGTGGAATATGAGAAACCAAAATCATTTTTTGTTCCAGGTTCTTGTTTTAACAGTGTCTTTGCAGTATCTCCTTTTAACGGGAGTGTTTAAGTGTTAAAAATAAAAGTATGAGTGGAAGCTTATTTATCCCTTTTCTATATACGTCAAAGATTTTTAAGATTTTTTTATTAAAACTGAGCGTGTTTTTTCTGGAATTGTTACAAAATGATAGACTTTTCTTTTCATATAACGCAACAAGTATATATAGTGTAATCTAAATTTACACAATGTGTGCTGGTTGAGATTTTGTCATGAGTCAAAATTATTTAGAGCATGTGCAGTAATTATATATCAGAACAATTTTAAATAAGATTATTATTTTATTGAAGATAATGTTATTATACAAGATTTTTCTATTGACTTTGTTGATTTTGTTAGTAATTGTAGGGCTTTTTTTTACAATAATAAGGTTAAATAGTTAAATTAATAATAATAATAATAATAATAATGATAATAATAATAAAGAAACATGTAAATAAGTGATTCCAAATACTTAGTGGTTTATCTTGAAAGAATTTAATTTTATTATAGGAAAGAGAAAATATTATTAAAGGATCTGCAGTTGTCCTTTTAACGAGTTCGTCGTTTAGTACAGGTGTTTATTATTGAAAAGATTTACAGTTATGAGAGGATCTACAGTTATCCTAGTAATGAGTATTATTATTGAAAGGATCTACAGTTATCCTAGTAATGACTATTATTATTAAAAGGATCTACAGTTATCCTAGTAATGCGAATTATTTATTGAGAGGATCTACAGTTATCCTAGTAATAAGTATTATTATTGAAAGGATCTACAGTTATCCTAGAATGAGAATTATTTAATGAGAGGATCTACAGTTATCCTAGTAAAGATGAATTATTATTGAAGTATTCATGGTTATTCTAGTAAAGAGTATTTATTATTGAAGTAAATCAGTTATCCTAGGAATAATCATTACTTTTATTGATTTTTCAGTTGTTTCTTAGTAAAGATTATCATTCAAGGATTTACAATTATCATAAGAGAAATTTTGAATAATTTTTAGTTTTTGTTGTTGTTGACTTTAGGAAGAATTTTGAGAAAGATTTATAGTAAACCAGAGATTTTCAGAATTGCTGTGTATAAAATATTTCATGTTTATATTATGGCTTTATTATTTCACTGATTTTGAGAATTGCTAAACATTTTGTACGAAATGTTTTTTTCGGGTTACCGACAGTTTTTTATAACATCTTTTTTGTATTTGCAGGAGCGTAAAATCACGCAATATGGGAAGAGACTTCAAAAGTTTTCAAATCAAAGTTTCTCTTGGGACAGCAGATAGTATGATACGGACATAGTTATGGCTTCTAAATCAAGAATACCAATCAGAAATACATCGGATATTTCAACAAATTTTGACGTTTGGTGTGGTTGAACATGGTTTCAATCAGTTTATCAGCTAAAATAACTACGGTTTGTCTTTTTCTGAGTGATTTTACTATCAGTGAAGTGTCTAATTCTGTTCTGGAAGGTTATTTTTATGCAATAAACTGGAAGCACGAATTATCACTCTTCGAGCTTTAGTAAACCCACATCTGTAAAACTTTATCTGAGTTTTCTTATTTCTTGGTTTGTATGGTTTAGGAAAGAAATAATTTATTTTTGGACGAACTAAGTGAGGGAGAAAATAAATGCATTTACGACTGCTCTGACTTTATCCATCGAGTTGGCCTTCATTAAATAGGTTTTAGATGATATATAACGCAATGGATATTGGGTGACTAGATAATAGAGCAATATATATGCATATGCATATTTGCGACAATGAGCATTGACTTTGAGGCTTTAAATACATGATCATTTTCTTTCTGTGATGGAAACCTAGAAAAAATTAATTTTTTTTCTTTTTATAAGTAATTTTTTAAATTACTTTAAACGTAAAAAATTGAGCAAAATATGACTAATAAGGAAATTTAAATATTTTTTAAGTAATACTAAAAGGGGTTTTAAACCTCTAAATTTAAAAAAAAAGGGAAAAGTAATGGTATTTTAATGGCATAGTGGTGTCACTTTTTTGAAACCCCTTTAATTAAAAAGGATGAATTAATTGATCCCTTCTAATGCTCATCTTTTTTCACTTTTTTCATAAGCTCAATAAAATTTTGGGATGCACTTTTTTTAGCATCCAAATTTAAAAACAAACACTTTTTTCCGTTTTAAAAATTTTCCAGGATGTACCTTTTTCTTCAAGAAATGCCATACCATAGGCAATCTGTCAAATAATTTAAAGAGATATTTCAATAATAAATTTTTCTGTGAAAATTGACAGTATCAGCAAGAGCATAAATTGGAGTTTAACGACACTATATTTATGTTATTTTCAGTAAGTCATTAAGATATATCGAGAAAACAGATAACTTAACGTATTTTTTTTAAATTAAAAAAGGAATTATTAAATCTTCAAGGCTTCAGTTGTTTGTCGAAAACTTTTCTTAACTTCTTTTGACTAAACCAGGAATAGCATATGATCATTTCGAAAGAAAATTATATAGCAAGTTGCTGGATGATGAGTTCATGAATGTGATCAACATTGAAATACAATTATTGTGAAAGAAACAATAAATAACACTGTAATACCTCGGAAGCCATTTTTGTAAGATCCTTGAATGACAGTGTTTTTCCACGGTCATTCCTCAAGTAATTTGGTAACGTATCATGAACAGTCTCTCCAAGTATTATCATAAATGGTTCAGGTTTTATTACCACTGCTATCATTCTAACAAAATGTTTACTCTGTCGAAAATCAAATGGAATTTTTGCCTCTGCCAAAAATTTGTCCACTTCACTCTTACATTTAGTGACCACAGTAACGTCAAAGGCCTTGAACAGTTTTCCTATATTAGATTAAATTTAATTAATAGATTCATATAAAAATACCAGGCTTTATACAAAAAAAGTTGGTACTGGGTGTGGAATCAGGACTTTTCTTGTATTTCATTTATGGACAATAAAAACACAAATTACGGAGCATCATAATTATAGCCAATATAAAAAAAAAACAGACCATATTTTAATCGATCATGTAAATGGCCGAATGGTTAACATTTATCGATGCCATTTTATACGGTTTATCAAACAAGAATCCTTTCCATTGACAGGTTTATACTAGAAAATACACAAATGTACGTACGCTTTTGTCGTCAAAAATACATTATCATAAAACAGTAAATGAATTTCTTTTTCATTTCTTAAAATGACTAAATACTTGCTGCACCTAGTAGTGAGAAATTCGGAAAGATGTATATTTGCCAATTACAAACGATTTAATCAATATTTGAATTATTTTGAAAATTCTGGAGAGTTTTATTGTCATGTGTAGTGGAGCAAGAATTTATTTGCATACATGTTTCGATGATCCCAAATATTTTGCATTACCAATGTCAGCATTCAATTGTCACCAAACAACAACGTTTTAAAAAGATTTGCTTCTGAAAAGCGGACCAGAAATCTGAAGATTTTTTGCCGCGTGGGGCTAAATCTTGACAGTGGCAAGCCATTGTTCCTTTAAGCAAGATACTTAACACTCAATTTTTGATTCTAGTTTGTTCCAGTTTAAAAACAATGTGTCTATAAATAAAGCTCAACAAACCCACAAACAGCTTCCCATATTTGCCAACTTTGACTGACTGTTTTAATTCAACAGATTGTCTATGAACTTCAATGGTCCTTGGATAAACAACAGGAGGCTGTTTCGGAACGGTGTACATTAACTTACATAAAAGCTCACCAGCACCGCCTTAAAAATGAAATTAAGTTATTTATTTGTACGCAATTGTGATGATTATGTTAGTTAAAGGTCAGTGATTTGAATATATATTCTGAATAAAATTGTTTAACAAACATTAGATTGTTAAATGAGCAAATGCGCTTGTTGAAAAAAGAAGGAATTTTGCATTTCTCATATCTTTTTAAAATCAAAGAAACATTGTATAACATGCATAAAATTTTACCAATACTATCTTATTAATGCGCTTCAAAATTAAACCAAATGGACAATTCAACTTTTGACACGCCAAATTTGAAGTTAACATACAAACTTCTCTTCAAAATTTCAAGAACCATTTTTGTTGTTTACATGTTTTATCAACAAATACAAGCATTTTAGACATGTAGACAATATTTCCCAAGCTTTCGCCGATGTCCCTAATGCTCTAAACATGTCCATTTAGAATAGAGTCGGAGAAAGGTGTGAAAACAGTACAGTAGACTGAATTTGTAAAGAAAAATTATTTTGAACATAAATATTTGGACAGTGAAAAACCCCTTCACAATCATGATATTTAGATATAAATGATCAGATCCATATCCAATAATTCACTGCGTATATTCTGGCGCATTGACGGCTGAGTATATATATTCCATATAAAATGCTGTGAAACATTTTGAAAAGAAAAAGCAGTAAAAAAAATTTAGAAAAAAAAATAGTGTACTGATTAATAAATTTTTGTTAACAAAAATGCAATAAAAGTGTTAAGTTTCCTCCTTATGGAATTTTAAAGGGTTTTATTTTGAGGGTCTTATTTTAAGTAAAAAACTAATAAGTATTATTGACTTACGTCTATAGTTATCGACAAGTGAAAATATGTCATCAAATCTGCTTTTATTGGATATGAAGAACTGACCGTTTTGCGATTTGATCATATAGTGTGCCACTCGCAATTCTTCGTTTTCAGGAACAGTCATCGATAACGAATATTCATTTCTTTCTAAAATAAACGCGAAAAATAAACATAGTTAACAAACAATCAAACTGATAGTTCACAGTTATACAAAATAAGTAATTTTTAGTACAACAGCAACGTAGATGATTAGATTTTTTAAAATTGCATTGTATTAATTGGGATAAAACAAAGAACAGTAAAAATTCTTTTTTAAAGTGTAATGGTGGAGAAAGGGTCTGTTTTTAATTTCAAATATATGAAAAATAATGTTACCTTCCTAGATAGATTGCCATCTAAACAAATAAACAAGTAATATGAGTTCAAATTTTGATAAACGATCAAACAAAGATCTGACATCCACAACATCGAGCTGATTGCCCCTTTTTTAAAAGAGGACATCAAAATGGAATTTGATATAATATTAACGTTTGATTCTCCTCTTCCGTAATTAACAAAGAACAGTTTATTTGATCATACGTACTGCCAGAAGGCCTTATAAGGTAATATCCAATAGATGGATTATCGAGCTGTATGAGCAACTCTTCTGCAGCAAATCTGTTCACGTCATGCCACCAACTAAAATATTTACAAATCTAAGCTAAATGATATGTATTGACTTGATTTATTTTAGCATTCCATACTGATCTTTCAAGCAAAATTGAAATTAGTTTTTCTTAATTCTAATATTTTTATGGTAATCTGTGCATGGATCAGTGTTAAAGATCCTCTATGTTGTAATTTTTAAAGTTGTATCAAACTAAAGTGAAATTTTATATATGTACATGTATATAATTATGCTTCAAGAACAATTTTCAAACATCGAAGAATATGTAAAATATGTACTGCAAATATTTCTCCACATTATATGTAACCATTAAGATACATGCATTCATTTCTTATTGAAAAATTTGACTAAAACATTTTTGAAAATAAATTTCTTATTACCTACCTTTATTAACATGAAGTGTAGATTCGGTAATATATTTTTTACAAATAATGTTTTTTGGAACTTACAAAATTGATAAATCTTCATTTGCGCATTATATTTATGATTTAAAACCATAAAAAAATTTGAGTTACAGGATCTTGAAAAATAGTATATGGTTTTTACATGGAAATCAAATATATTTCATACTCTTGTGAGATTAGTTCATGCTTTGCATGAGTAATATAGGCAAGAGGAACGTAGCCTTTCTGCCCTGTGGACATATGTTCAGCATAACACCATTCAGAATTATCACTGAAATAGAAAATAATGACTTAAAAATGTGCAAAAAATGCATTTGGCATTCCAAACAATGCCGCATATATAAGCAATTTAAACAAAAATATGTTTTTCAACAATAATGTTTTTTTAACTTATCACTTACTAAAATACTTTAGGTTTGACCGCTGCTTCGCTTTTGAAAAACCAAGAACATATTAAGCGTAAGGAATTATAGACATTATTGAAAGGTTAAATGTTGTTTAATGCCGATCATTGTGAAATAAATGTATGATATTTTCGAAAGTAAACTGAATTTTCAAAAAAAAAGTCAGGTTATTGCCTTAATTGATTAGGTTAAAGTCTCAGTTACTATCAATTCATACAATTTCATAGGATGCGACGTTATATCCTATTTAGAAAATACATGTACAGTTAATAACAGGAAGACTCCAGCAAATAATCTGCCCTCGTTCATGCCAGGCAGTCGAATATTTAAATAAGCAAGATTTTCCTAATTTTACTAAACAATGATATTCAACATTATTATTTATATTTGATATGTAAAATGGCAATAAATCTTTAAAAACTAATAAACCGTAAGAAACAACTAAGTCCAAAACTTTTTCGAAAACTGAGAATATCTAAAATAGTCGCTCCCTAAAAATGATAATCATACATAGGAGGAAATAGTATATATGATAAAGAGATAGCTTCGTTTATAACCTGTTGATGTCATCACGGATTTTTAGTTTATCTAAAGCTCTAAAGCTGATCTCATCCTGAGAGAACGTCTCAAAATCAAAACTGGTTGTAACCGCTCTTGACCCAGGCACAGTTCCTATGAAACGTAAAACAGTAGGTGAATGAAATGAGAAATTACTCAAACTTGTAATCGAGTAAAAAAACAGAAGTCAATAAAATATGACTGACGTTTGGTTTTAATCTAAAGGGATAAAGGAAAGGATTTAACTCAATGCAGTGTTTTAGTAGTACCTCTAGACGTTTGCAGAAATCATGATCACAAAATAGACAAATATCATTTGTTTGTTGTTGTTGTTTTTCCGCCGATTCTTATTTTTTCAATCTTTAATGTATATAAATCGGTGTGAAGAGATGAATTAGACGTTTTAAAGTCCATTCCGTATGTTGACAAGGCTAGATTATAGCATTTAATCTTTCAAGCAACTTGTCCAGTATTTATCGGATACTGTCTTTAGTTAGGTGCTCCAATCCTTTCTTAAGTCTCCCTCAGACATAAACGTTATTTTTAGTAGGAGTTTATCAAAGCTATTTATAGACAATTTAACAAAAGTAAAGCAATGAACATTTACTCAAAAAACATTAACATGAGAAAATGCCTAAAATATATAGCAAACTGTAAGATACGCATAACCATATTCTTAACATCAAAAATATTTCTTAAACAACATCTCATCTCTCTCTACTTATCTATAAATCTACGATTAAATAATTAAATATCAATAGCAAGTACCATTCTACGAATTAAATGCTTTCGTCAAATAATATACATAAGCATCTTACCTTCCGTCTTTTCTATATTTAATATTCGAACAATTTATCAACTTTTAAACACTTGTTACTACAGAAATATGTTAATGTAATTGTTGAAAAGGTTGGATAGGCGTGAGATTTTGTCCTTAACATCTAAGTGCTTTCTTAAGATAAGTATTCCCCACAGTTTTTTGTTATCGGTTGTTCCGTCTTTTTTCTATAATAGTACTGTTATTTTTCAAACACAAAAAGTAAAATGCTTTTCAAAAAACAATAATCAATTTTTTACAGTATAAAGGATAAAAAACGGAATGAACCATTGTTTGTTATGTTAAATGTAACGGAGATTATATTTTCGTAATATTACATTTACCGATTAGTCCATCTTTATGTTAGTTTAAGAAAAGTCGTATTTTGAAGCGGAGCATGCGTATAACACTTTTTGCAGACTAGTTCGGATGATTTTACGTTTTAAATAAGATCCATTAACTTCAATTTGATACGCGAAAATAGATACCGCCAGCAATCATTCGAGGTCTGATAACATCTACATTAATTTAACAGAACCACAGTAACTTGAAATTTTATCAATATAAATAAGATCCATTAACTTCAATTTGATACGCGAAAATGGATACGACCAGCAATCATTCGAGGTCTGATAACCTCTACATTAATTTAACAGAACCACAATAACTTGAAATTTAATCAATATACACTGTTTAGGTCCAACTTTCTAAAAACTACCTTATCTATCTATATAAAAAGCACAAGATGATGTTATATATATATATTGATGTTCTTTTTTTTTCTTTTGAAAATCGGACTTGATAGTAATTATTGATGAATTTTCAAGTACCTTTGATGCATCTAACAGTTCGAGAGTGTATACATGAGCTCTTACAAAATGAACTTAAATAAATTTTGTATGATTTAAATTAACATAAAAATATCATGAAAAATATCATATCATGAAAAATTTATGAAAATATTAAAGACAAACCTGATAAATTAAGTAAATATAACTAAGAGCAAGTATTAAATCGGTTTTGGACATTGGGTCTAATGGTTATTTGTCTGTCACCGACTTGCTAAAAAATTGCTACATTACTGGGTAAGAGCCTAAGAAAGCAGAATAGGCGATCGACCGCAGGATATATGAACAACAATGATTTAAAATCGGCTTTAAAAAATAAAACAAACCTTGAAAAGAAAATTTCTCGTATGGTTCCACTTCAATAGTTTTATCGTTGTTACCAGATTTAAAATTGCCTGGTACATATTCGTATCTAAGAAGCTTGTTCTGAAAAAATGCAGTATCTGTACATGAATATTTTTCTTTTGATAACTATAGCATAGCTTCAAATAACAAGATCACTAAAAGTTGGTATTCACAATCTCAAAAAAGCGAGCAATGAATAAAAAAAACATACTGAATTAAATTGAAATAAAACCATAATATATGTGTGAAAATAAATTACATACACACCTGATTTGTTGTGAGTTTTCTTGTAAAGAAAAGTCTTACTGTATTAAAGAAACCCCTGAATACACCTAAAAAGAGTTAATAAGTATAAGATACATAATTTACATTATCTACACTACCAAATTATCTTGGGAGTAGGGTAAATTGTAATACAATGTTGAAGCTCCTTGATGAAGTCAAAATGTCTCTTTGGTGATTGCTTCACGTTATGGCACAAAGCATGTAGTAATAATGGCTTAAAGTCAATTATATAACTAAATTGTTTATCAATAGGTCGCCATTCATGGATCGAGAAGTTGCAGTAAGGATTTTACAAATCACAGACAAACTGAGGTTTTTCATAAAAGAGCTTATATTTCTCCAAAAACAATTCATGAATTGCAAATTGCACACTCGGATTAATTAGGTCAGCTATATCTATTTTTATTTTTACTTGTCACGCGCTTGAGCACCTACCTATTTGTCTTCAGCCTTCCGAACTGCAGCGATTAGCACAAAGTCATCATCATCTGTATCAAATAGTTATCTCAAAAACAATTATTGCTTATATTAATACATTACAAAATTGTTCTAGAATTTGAAAGCAGCTTCAGTTTAGCTAAATACAAGCATACCATCTTTTTTAACATACTCTTCACTTCCATATTCTTGCGTCATTTCTTCTGATGACGCCTTAGTGTCATTATGAAACCATTTGGCACCTAAAAAGTCATTAGACAGACATTTAGTCCTGATACAAAAATGATGAAAAAAAATTAATTACTGTGATCATGTATATAAATATAATGACAGTTAATTCGTTTTTACCTATAATTGCCAGTTTAACAATTATAATTTACATTTTTCAACCTTATCTACATCTCGGGTGTTGGATAGAACAATATTTTATTAACAGTTTAAAGTTCTGAACTGAAACACAGAAATACCTTCAACGACAGTCTTATCCGCATTCTGTCGCTCATTTCGTCTCTTGTGAGATTCGTTACGAGTTCTGTTTAGTGGTGATACTGAAATTTTCTCAAATATATAATTGGTAACACCTTCGCCTTTTGTCCTAACTTCTTTTGACTCCGTCACCTTTACAGTTTTCGTGCGTTTAATTTCAGTCACATTCTCTATTTCTCTTATCGAGATATCGCCATCGCTCTCTTCAATTACTTGATACCTGACATTGTCAGTGAAAATAACGTTTTCTTTTAATTGAGCTGTACGCGATTTTTTCAAAATATCTAAACATTTCAGTTTTCCATCGATATCTAAAAACCATTCCTGATTTATACACTTTAGTTTCCATTTTCTATAATCCACTCTGTGTTCATCCATTGTCAGATACCACAATTCTATTTGGTATTAAACATAAAGATATATTATAGTTCAAACCGGCAAAAGTGTAGATGTATTTTTTTCATGGAACATTAAATTTGTTCTGTTCCACTGAACACTAGTATTTATAATGTTTCACTAAACACTGTATTTATTCCGTTTTTACCGAACCCTAACATCTATTCTGTTTCACTGAACACCAGTATTTATTCCGTTTCACTGAAAACTAATATTTATTCAAATTACAATAAAACACCGGTATTAATTCTGTTTCACTGACACTAATATTTATTCTGTTTTCACTGAACACCGGTATTTATTCCGATTTCAATGAACACCGGTATTTATTCTGTTTCACATAACGCTATAGCATCTATTCTGTTTCACTGAACACCAGTATATCTATTCTGTTTCACTGAATGCTAATATTTATTTTAATTACACTGAAACACCGGTATTTATTCTGTTTCACTGACACTAATATGTATTATGTTTTCACTGAACACCAGTATTTATTCTGTTTCACTAAACACTATAGTATATCTTCTGTTTTCACTGAACACCAGTGTTCATTCTGTTTCACTGGACACTAAAATTTATTCTATTTTCACTGAACACCGGTATTTATTTTGTTTCACTGAACACCAGTATTTATTCTATTTCACTGAAGGCAAAGGTATATCTTTTCTGTTTTCACTGAACACCGGTATTTATTCTGTTTTCACTGGACACTTATATTTATTCTGTTTTCACTGGACACTAAAATTTATTCTGTTTTCACTGAACACCGGTATTTATTTTGTTTCACTGAACACCAGTATTTATTTTGTTTCACTGAACGCAATAGTATCTTTTCTGTTTTCACTGCACGATAGTATTTATTTTGTTTCACTAAACACTAATATCTATTCTGTTTCACTGAATGATATTTTAATTTCCAATTATATCATAACTTGTATGCAATATGTTTATAAAGTTTGTATATTATTCCATGGCTTTTTGCAAAGACATAATGCTTCTTCCTTTTGCTTATATATAAATAGCAACAACAACAACAATAATAATAAAAATAATAATAATAATAATAATAATAATGATAATAATAATAATAATGGTGATGATGATAATAATAATAATAAACTAGCAATAAATTAAAGGCTAGGCGATGCTATCTTTATCCTATTTGAATATAAAGTAGTATTGAAACAACTCAGTTTAAATTAAACTTATTAAAAGTACGAGCGAAAATAATAAGTGTTCTTTATAAATTAAACCGACTAGGAAATCATATAATGTTTAAAAAGAAACACTTTACATAAGAATCAACAATATATGAAACTGAATATTAGTAATCTGTTGTAATTAATTACGTGTTAAAGATCCTGTATGTTGTAATTAAAGTTGTTACCACACTTAAGTGAAATTTTGTATATGTATATACTTATGCTTCTAAAACAATTTTCAAACATCGAAAGTTTCTACTGCAAATATTTGTCCACATTATATGTAATCAATAAAATATATGCATTCATTTCTTACTTAGACTTTATAGAAAATAAAATTCTAATTACCTCCCTTTATTTACATGAAATGTTAAATTCGATAATATCTTTATAAATAATGCTTTTTGGAATTTACAATATTGATAAATCTTAAATTAAGCATCATATTTATGATATAAAACCATAAAACATTTGTATTATAGGATCTTTAAGATTATATTATTACGGATTTCTGGGCTGTTTATTTTTTATTATTATTATTTTATTTATTTTTTATTTATTTATTTTTTAATGACAGATTCCTGGATTCAGACTCTTAATTTATAGTTTTTCAATTCCATTTGCATTCATTTTTACATTACTTTTGCATTCATTCGTTTGCGTGTTTTTTGTTTTTTGATTTGTTTTTGTTTTGTTTTTTGTTTTTTTAATTAAAAAAATCATATTTTCATTTTGAAGCTTTCAAACAATAAATATGTTACTTTTCCACGCGTTAAGACTTTTTACTGCAAATCAATGCGTTTATGAATGTCTTACTTATGATATGCTTTGTATTTTTTATATTACTTTTTATCCATGCACTCTCAAGATAATCATTGCATTTCCATGTTGTCAGACTTATTATTGACTAAGACCACATTCGGAATACTGATTGTAAATGCATGCATTCATTCTTTATTATTACTTATCCGTGAGTTAAGACGTGGCTATAATCATATTGCAAATTAATCCGTTAACAAATATAATTAAGCCTACTTATCCATGCATACAGAGTATTTCACAATAAAGACTATTTCACAGTTAAGTTTATTAATCCATGCATTCTTCCCATTTTACACTCGCATTTAGTATATTTTACTATGAATTTTATTTATTCCTGCATTCAAACTTTTTCATAATTTAGACTACTTATTCGTCATTCGGACTATTTCACAATTAAAGCGGTCTTCGCCTTTTACTTTTGTCCGGAAAACAATTCTGTGTTTTTTTCAAACTTAACATCCCGCAAACTTGCATCATATCACGTACTGTTAGGCCTCCACCAGAGTTATTTTTAGAGCGCCAGTGACGTTCGTTTCTAAAAATAGAAGACCAGGAAACGAATCGAGCGGACCGGTAGATTGTTTCCTTATTGTTTATGTATTTTGTCGACGGCGAATTTTAATTTCCACTTTATTTTTTTTTATTTGACAATTATATGAACCGATTAATCTAAAAATAGCATTTTTAACCTTTAGATCGAAAAGTTAAAAGCCGTTTTAAGCATATTTATCAATAAAATCATGCTATTTCTCAATTAAGCCTATTTATCCATGAGTTGAGAGTTTTTCACAATAAATACAAATAACTTCATTTATCGTCTACTTAGTATCAATAGTTAAAATTATCGGCCTACTCCTGTTCTCCTGAACAACGTTCACCTTTCTTGTAATAGTATTTTTTTAAACTTCTACAAATGAAAAACACGTACATAATGGTATCATTTAAATTCTTGATATACCGTAAATAATTTTCCATTTCTTTAACAAAAATTTGTGTACGCTTTTTGGGTAGTCAATCGTAGGCTAAAGGGGGGGGTAATACGGAAAAAGGGTTTTGAGTCTCGGTGAGTAAAAATATTTCTATATCATTTCAAAATACTGTAAATTTCTGAAAACCCCGTAAAGGGAAAATTTAAGAAATTTTCCCCTTTTTTAATCGCATGTAACAGGGTTTTTCGAAATGAAATTTACCCCAAAAAAGGAAAGAAGAGTATCTAAACAGTTCTAATAAAAGGGGACCTTTATCTGAATACGTAAAACCCCAGTAAAAATTCGACCCCTTTGTAAAGCTAAAATTTTCTAGAATAAACAGGGTCATGGAATGGGGGTTTATTATTTTAGCTGGTAAAAGGCCTTGGATAAATTAGATAAAAAAAGGGAAAAAAACACTTATTGTCATTAAGAAGAAACACTGGCTACTTCAATTAAGTAAGGAAGATTAGTGGTTTCCTAACTTTAAGCATACTTACACAAAAAACAAATGTGTCTTAGGAAAAAGGTCTAAACTGTAAGGTAGGATAGGGTTTGAGATTTTTTTCTTGTTTCGTTTTAAATCTTGGTATCGGGTAGTTCTAAGTAGGGTACGTCGGGTTGCCCAAAACACAGGATTTTAGGCATCTAAATTTAGTGGTTTCCTAAATTGATGGCATATACGTACATTCTGTTGTAGCAAACATTATCTTCTATCCAGTCGAAGCCGGAAAATATCAATGCACTTGATAGAATTGAGGAGCCATTCACTAAAATGTACTCAGTATATAGCCGCATAATGTTATATCATACCCTAAATGTTAGCAAAGTAGCATCTAAGAAAAGGTGTGACGGAAAATGACTCCAGAACCTAACTGTAATATATATATAAAAATTGGGTAATAAAACATGGGGGCAAATGTTATCGAAAACGCACAAGCTTCTATTTAGGGGGGTTTCTCATTAAAATCGTGTCCCCAGTTATAAACTGATTACCATGGTGCTTAACTTGCGGATGAATACAATGTACATATATCAAATTGATTTATACCTGATATATTACTTGTATCATAGTCCTGGGGACCTTTTCTGTTGAAAAATGTGTCAGAGATAAATCGTATACCTATACATGCACCGTGCGTTTAACTGGAGTGCAGGAAAATCATTTACCCCACTCCCAGAGCATGCCCATTGATTTGGCTCAGTGACGGCAGAGAAAGGCAAAGCGATAGAAATATCAAATTCAAATGCTCGTTGATTGGTTTCTTTTCGTGGGGCTTTTATATTTGTGACAACAGGAACGTGTTTTTATGTTTGACATGATACAAAAAGGGAAAGAACATCAAAACACTCGGCAATCTGATTAATACTCGGGGGCTAACTTTCCCCTCGTAACAAATCAGAAAGCCTCGTGTTTCGATGCTCTTTCTATTACTGTAGCAGGTAAAAACAAATTAATGACAAATATGCAGACTGGTAATAACTAACATGCATTCAATAAACAGATAATATTATTCCGTTTGCTTTTTGAATTCAAGAACAATTGAGACAACAGAAAGAAAGATTTTTTTTATCTTATATTTCTTTAATTCTTTAATTATCAAATATAAAGATGGACGCATATATTTTATTGTTTGTTTGTTTCATTTTACGCCTTTTCCCAAAACAGTATTTCCAGTCATATAGGCGGTAGTTCTCAAAACCATTTTCTTTTTTCCTGGTGAGTTACACCAGTACTAGAACTACCTTCCTCCGTAAACATATTTTTTTGGGGTTTCATAAATAATGCAATTAAAAGGCCTTTAAAAAAATTTTAAACAAAAACTCAAAATTTAAAAAATTAATTAATATAAAAAAATCGTAAATTTTTGCCCAATTTTTTGTTTTTTTTTTGTAAAGGGTTTTTAATTTTAAATTATAGAAAATTAAACCCGGAGGGGCCAAAATTCCCAAAAATTTAATTAATATTTGCCCCAAAAAAAATTTTTAATAGGGCACTTTGAGGGGTTCCTTGGGGGAAAATTTTACAACCCTTTTATAGTATTGTAAATGTTTTTAAAAAAATTCATGGAATAAAATTTAAATTTTAAAACAATCAATTCCCAAAAAGAAACATTTTTAAAATTTTCCAAATTTTTAAAGGATTTAAAATTTTTGTCGGAAAAAAATTTTTTTGGGCCCGGGGGGTTTTCATTTTAAAATTGAAATTTTATATCCAAAAATTGCCCAGTGGCCCCTTTTTAAAGGATCTCCGGTTTTGGTTTAAACAGGTCTGGGTTGGGCTGGGGAAAAGGGTTAAAAGAATATCGGGGGTGACACATGACACTTAACAAACAATAATCGTAAAAAGTTTTTTCCTTTTTTCAAGTGTTCTCAAGACTTGTAACTTTTCCCAAAAACTATGGGAATAATTAAAATCGTTCCAAAGAAAAAAAAGATTTAAAAAAGTCACCCCTTAAGGGAAAAGTTGTTTTTACTTTTAAAGGGCCAATCCGGGATTGGTCCACGGGGGAAGGGGGCTCAGAAACCCCTCTTTGGGGGGGAAATTTTTTAAAAACCCTCAATGTCAACAACACGATTTGGGAGAAAAGTTTCCAAAACTAGCGTTTTTTTGTAAGATTTTACTTTGATTTTAACGTCTTTGGGGGGTTTTGGTGTAAAGGGAAACATTTGGGGTCCCCGGCCCTCACCGTACGTCTGGGTATTTTTTAGAGCATCAAAACCGGTTTTTCCCCCACGGGGGGTCATTTGGGGTGAAATTTTCAAAAGGGAGTTTCAATGTAGTAAAACATTTTTTGAGTGAACCTTCCGTCCTTTTTTGGGCCCTTTTCATAAGTTTGGTTTTATTAAATTTAAAAAGAGCGCCGATGTGTTTAATTTTTTTCTTTTTTTTCAATACCCCCTTTTTGGGGTATGGGTCCCAAAAAATAGACCAAAATGTAGTTTAAATTTTCCCGGCTATGAAGCGGTTTACAACATTCAAGAGGGCAAAATGGCCCCTTTTTTAAAAAATTCCCCCCTCCCCCAAAAAAAAAACCCATTTAGGTCGAGTCGGGTTTTTGCAAATGTTGGATCTACATGGTTTTAAAATGGTTTTTTCAGTTCAAAGTGAATAAATTTTGGGTTTTGGGGGCCAATGAGGGGAAAAAACTTTTTGGGATTAAATTTCAAAAGCCCCAGTTTAGGGGCCCCAACGTTCCAAAAGGGGGATAAGATCTTCTTTGGGGTTTGCCCGTTTATGTATTTGTACGTGTTAAAAACATAAAAACATCACTGCAAAAAATCTAAAACCCAGATTTTAAAAACTGATGCAGGGCCCTTTAAAGGTTTAACGAAAAATTAATGGGGGAGTCATAGGGGGAACTTTAAAGGGAAAGGGAAAAACAACCCAAAACAGGGAAATGATTTTTACCTTATATTTGTGAAAAATTTTTGGGAATAAGCGTCGGGGCGGAAAAGTAAACAAAAACTTTGCTAAGGTCTAATAAATTTCAATATCTACCTGGGGTTTTTTTTTTAAAACGAGAAAGCAGGCCCCACTTTTTATTTAGGGGTTTTGTAAATATCCAGGATCTAAGCCCATGATTTAACGTTGTTAATTTACACTATGTTTTTCAAAATGTTTTAAAAGATGGCTGCACTTAATGTGTTCAAGAATCTTGCTCGTAACTGCATAATGTAAAGCTTATACAGGACGATAGTTTTCAGCTGTGTGTTTGCCCCCCCCCTTCTTAAAAACAGGCGCTACATTTGCATCTCTCCAATCCTGTGGCAATTTACCGGTTATATAACGAATACTGATTTTACTCATTTCATGTGCATACGTTTTCCAAACTATATTAAGTAAAGGTAAAATGTTGGTAAAGACTGAATTCAATACTATTTTACATTGTAACAAATGGTAGAGGGAATAGAGAATACGAAGTATTATCTAAATTTTAACATGATGTTTTTACAAATAGTAGAATTCAATTATAGACACCACTGTGCCCAAAACTCGTCACAAGTTTTAGTAATACCAAAAAACTCAGTTACAAGTTTTAGTCATACCAATAAATTTCAATAAACCAATGAAATGCCTTCATTATCTTTACTGCAGTATGACTTGTAAACAAACATGGCGGACGAAGGTTTTTTTTTCTCATTTTAAAAAAAGATGGCACATTTCCCCCTTTTATGACCAAATTTATTCTCTTTCAACTCGTATTTGATGGAAAAAGTTTAATAGATTACTGTCATCAACGTATGTGCCAAACAAATGGACACTTGTTAATAATTAATCATTCTATTCAAGTTTGTTGATAAGACTGCAACCACAATCAAAATGCACCACAAAAGGTGACTGATCACCGAAGAACATGGTTGCAGGTAAATGCACCCCAACAATAGTCTGCTTGCAATCAAAGTCCATCCAACGAAATGGTTGATCCCCTGTAAAATTGGGCGTAGTCTTAGACAATTTGAACAGTTCTCAGACGGACTTCGCCAAAAAAAAATTAAAAAATTGTAAGAAGCATAATTTCAAAATGAAACCCGACAGCTTTTTAACAATGCACAAGTAAACAAAAGCTACGTGTTCATAGATCCTAAATATGACACAAGACCGGTGAAAACCAAAATGAAATTCAAGCCGACACGACAATTTGGTAACTTCATGCTGTACAAAATATGTGATAAAATTACCCATGTATGCAGACTCAATAGCATTTTCAAAATCATATAGAAAATCTCCAAGAAACCGAAAGGTTAGCCGACGATCAGGATTTTTGTGCCAACATTTAAGAATTGTGGAATGGTATTCTTCTGGACACTGCACTGGAACATCTTCTGGTATTGGCAGTTTGTGTGTGGCCATTAATAAACCATACACCTCGTCTTTTTCAAAGCCTGTTTACAAATGCGTAAAGCATCGATGCTTATAAAAATGTGTGTAGTGATATGACTGTATCGAAAGAAACTTTGTTATGCTTTGAATGTATGATTTAAAAAAAGCCTGACAAGGTGCTACAGTTTCGAAGATGTGCTTAGGTACTAACTTTGGAACCATAATTTATTTCTTCAAAGAATATTTGCATAATTCAAACTTTTTTTAAGATTATTAAGTCATATAGTACTATATAAATGTATTTTTGAAAACTCACAGAGGAAAATATTAACTTGATGTAGTTATTTTAACTTTTGAAAGGATTATGTGTCTGACCAACTATTTAGATACGGCACAGACGTTTCTGTTAATCTACATCCAATGTCTCTATTATCTATCGTAGTGCACAGTGTCTAGAAAAACACAGTTATAAACATAAAAAATCTATTTACCTGCATACGGTAATTCCCCAAAAGTTATCAGTTCATACAAAACAACTCCAAATGACCAAACGTCAGACTTTGTACTTAACGCACTCTCGTCTTCTATGACTTCCGGTGCTGTCCGTTGCCATTCACATTTACCTTAATTATCACAAGATAATTTAAGACGTATCTCTATTCATGTACTATGATTAAGAAAGCTTACACATCATCCTTGACAATCATTTATTTTTTCATGTATTTATTATGTAAAACATAAGGGGCTTTGAATATGTATTTGCCCATCTGTAAAATATGTATGTTATCCCTTCATTTTACAGTAAAATCCAAAAAAATGGAGGTTAACTAGAAACATAGCAACAGTTTCACATGCATAAAAATATTGGCCTCTTAGAGGCATCAGTCACATATACAATATTATACATATAATTTGAAATATCATAGAGTTCCACGAAATATACTAATGTACTACATGGCAAATATAAATAAAAAACGAAATTGTTACATTATGGAAATAAGCTTAGCTTAAATGCTGATATAATTTTTTTACAGAATACTGCAAGTTTTAACAATATACTTCTATCTGTGCTATTCATTAACATAGAAAACTTGATTGAATTAACATTAGTACTATACTCTCTAGTAATATATTTTTTTCTATCAGTATTAAAGAATTGACAATTAAATAAGTAATGACATTCATCACCAAGTGAGCTAGTATTGCATAAGTTACACACTCTTAATTCTCTTGGTATATTACAAAATCTACCAGACTCAATAGGCAATTTATGGTTCATACATCTAAAGCACAATAGTACCAAAGCTAAATGAGATGGTAAAATGTCTAAAAACTTTTCAAATCTGAATTCACTTTTGTACATTCTATAATTCAGACATTTACTGGTTTCTGACATTTCACTATGCCACTTTTGCATGAACTGATCTTTCAGTCTATTTTTAACAATTTTCTTAAACAATGGAGGAGAAGTTGTTCCTCATACTCAACAAGAGTACTCTAATTTACATGGAAGGACCGTTTGGGGCAAATTTATATAAACACACGGGTTGGTGACTTATATTGCATGGCTGCTATACATGTACTTACAGACGGTGACAGCCCCAGGAGTCAAACTGTAATCATAATTTCTTAGGTCAAGTTAGCGAAGAGATAGACAGTGTTCAAGTGTGTGTGACATTAAATGCATTTACGACTGCTCTGACTTTATCCATCGAGTTGGCCTTCATTAAATAGGTTTTAGATGATATATAACGTAATGGATATGGGGTGACTAGATAATAGAGCAATATATATGCATGTTTGCGACAATGAGCATTGACTAAGAGGCTTTAAATACATGATCATTTTCTTTCTATGATGGAAACCTAGAAATAATTAATTTTTGTTCTATTATAAGTAAGTTTAAATCACATTTAAATGTAAACTATGAGCATAATATGACATAATAACGGAAATTTAAATATCTTAAAAGTAATACGTACAAAGGGTTAACACTCTAAATGTGAATGGAAAGTAATGGTATTTTAATGGCATAGTGGTGTCACATTTTGAAACACCTTATAATATAACAAAGACAGATGAATTAATTCATACCTTCTACATGCTCATCATTTTCACTGGTTTTCATAAGCTCAATCAATTTTGAGTGCACTATTTTTAGCATCCTAAATTTACAAACAAACACGTTTTCCGCTTTCAAATTTCCATGAATGATACTTTTTTCTTCAAGAAATGGCATACCATAAGCAATCTGTAAAATGATTTAAAGAGATAATTGAAAAATAATTCTTTTCTGTGAAAATTTACCGGTATAAGCAAGAGCATAATTTGGATTTGAACGACACTAAATTTATGTTATTTTCAATAATTGTGAAAAAACAAATCACAAAACGTATTTTCTGAAGATTCAAAATGGAATTTTTGAATATAAGAGGCTTCGGCTATTTGCCAAAAACTTCTCTTAACTCCTTTTGACTAAACCAGGAACAGCATATGATCATTTCGAAATGAAATTATATAGCAAGTTTCTGAATGATGGGTTCATGAATGTGATCAACATTGAAGTACAATTCTTGAGAAAGAAACAATAAAAAACACTGTACTTTCTCGAAAGCCATTTTTGTAAGATCCTTGAATGACAGTGTATTTCACGGTCAATTCTCAGGTATACTTGTAACGTACCATGAACAGTCTCTCACAGTACGATCATGAATGTTTCAGGCTTTATTGATAGTTCCAATCCCCAAAAAAGGTAATGCTGATGATGTAAATAACTATAGAGGTATTACCCTTACCAGTGTTTTTTCTAAATTATTTTCTTCAATGTTAGATACACGTTTGCGCAAGTGGGCCGAAACTAACAATTAGTTAGTGGAGTACAAGTATGGCTTTCGTAACGGCAAAAGCACCATAGATTGTATTTTTGTTTTAAATTCTATAATAAATAAAGTTATATATAGTGACAAAAAGAAACTATATTGTGTTTTATCGTAAAGCAATTGATGTTGTATATAGAAATGGTATATGGTTAAAATTATTGAATTATGGAGCTTTGTAGGAGCACATTTGTCTCGGAGCACATTTGTCTTACGTAAGACCGATGCGGTCGCATTTGTCCCACATGAGACAAATGGGACCTCAAATGTCTACCCCAAAAAAAAACTTAATTGTGTTACAAATGTGCTCCGATCAAGTTTTTTAAGGGACAAGAAAGCACATTTGTCTCATGATTTTTAAGGGACAAGAAAGCACATTTGTCTCGTGTCATTTTCTCTGAATAATTTGTCACATATTTTCCAACGGCACCTTTTTTTTTAGAATCGATGATCGCCGTTTTTTGTCATGTCAAGTGTAATCATCAATAGGTTTGCTACTGTTTTTTTTTTTTATTAAATCTTAAACTTAAAACCTTTTAATTCTAAGATATCTAATTCAAGAAATTTGATACGCTGAACCTGAAGGCGAACACTGAAACATACGGAATTCCGTTCACGATTTACAATGGTGAAAGCGCAATGGCACGAAGGTACGATGATGAAAACGCGATTTTAACGATGGTGAAAAAACGATGGTATGAACGTGAAACTACGATTGTACGATGGTGAAACAACGATTGTAAAATGGTGAAACAACGAAGGCAGGATGATGAAAACGTGATGGTACGATGGTGAAAACAATATACTACGATGGTGAAAATACGACTGTACGATGATGAAACTGCGATGGCATAATAATGAAAACGCGATATTATTTTCACCATCGTGTTACGCATCATGATGATTCTACCATCGCGCCATCGCTGGTCCATCATCGTGACGTCGTGTTTTCATCATCGTACTATCGTACCATCGCGCTTTAACCATTGTACTATCGTGCATAGCGGTTTAAGGAGACAAAAAATAAATATAACTTATGTCCAAACGGAACACATTGGGTGCTATTTGAACGATCTGCGGATGTTTGTAAATTCAAAATTTCACCATTTTCGTGTTAAAATGTTGAATTCTGCTTATGTAGGTGCTATGGGGGCGCGGACGGTAGTTTGCATTTGTCAGTACCGTCCATGATTAGGCTCAATCAAACCGAGCCAGCAATATTTTTAATGTTGCTGTTTTGCACTTTCTATAGGGATTGCTATTTTCTCTATTTTATCTTTTTTCGCGTCTCGCCGGAATCTCGCGTCTCGCTTCGCATCTCGTACGTTGACGCGAGACAAGAAAATCCTTCGTAAATAGTTTTCCCTTTATATTCTATATAAAATTGACATTTTTCAAAGAGCTACAAAACATAGCTAGACCTATTTTAGAGAAAAAAACATTACGTCATTTAAAGAGATATGACAAAACTGATATAAAATGATGAGGAAAGTAGGGGGTCATGTATCTTCTTAAAAGAATTTCTAGCGTCACATTTGTTACTGTAAAATCACTTTAAATACTTTACTATGACATAGAAGAACCACCAATAATAAAATTTAAATTCCTTGCCTTTAACCGCTGTAGGTTTGACATTCACTCGGGGCGTCGAACTATTCATGCGAGCCAGCCCGTCCAGGGTTCTAATGCGGAATACCTATCCGCGTGCGCACGTTATAGTTATCGCGTGCGCATGCAATAAATACCCCTTTTGAACGAAATAGCTATCGCACAAGGCAAATGTGCTCCTACAGAGCTTCCTCTAAAATTGTCAAAATGTTGAAAGTTATGTATGAAAATGTTAAAGCATGTGATAGAGTTAATGGGTCTGTAAGTGATTATCTTGACTGTAATAATGGTGTTAAACAAGGCGACCCATTATCTTCTTTGTTGTTTATCTTTTTATCAATGATATGTATGAATATTTGTATGATGATAATGTTTAGATATTTACGTTAGAAGAGATGAAATTATTTCTGTTATTGTTCGCCTATGATACAGTTTTGTTTTCATATATGAAAAGTGGTTTACAATTGTTACTAGATAAACTATATATGTATTGTCATGAATGGGGAATCACTGTTAATCCAGAAAAATTAGTTGTTATGATATGTCAAAAAGGTACTAGACAAGAAAATGATGTATTTATGTATTATAATGATCAAATTTTGAAATGTGTAATATAAATTTACTTATCTAGGTGTATCTATTTCGTCAAACGGTAGCTTGTTTCAAGCACAAAAATCTTTGTCAGAACAAGCCTGAAAGGCCCTTTACTCACTTAATTCACTTTTTGATAACATGTCTCTAGAAATATCGGAAAAGTTAAAACTATTTGACTACATGATTATGCCTATTCTCAAGTATGGTTCTGAAGTATGGGGTTTGCATAATGCACCAGACATAGAACATGTTCATAAAAAGTTTTTGAAGCAACTTCTGTGTGTTAGACAGCAAACATCAAATGCTGCTGTATATGGTGATTTTGGAAGGGTACCTTTGTTAATATTACGCAAAATACGTGTTGTAAAATACTGGTATAGATAGTTAAACAGTCTGATTCTCTTATGTATAAATTGTTAATGATGAAAGATAGAAATAATCAATATGTTAATAAATGGTCGATTGATTCAGAATTTAGGATTTACTAATACTTTTGATAATCCCAATGTTATTGATGTAAAAACCATCATTCAACGTAAATATGATCAATATAATCAACAATAGCTATCGGAAAACTAGTAATTCATCAAAATTAGAGACTTTAGATATATGATTATAAAACTTTAAGATAGTTTTGATTTTGAAAAATACCTTTCTTTAGTAAAAAAGTTTTAGAATAGCTTTGTCACGATTTAGATGCTTCGCACATAGACTTATGATAGAAGGTAGATTTAGGAATATTGACAGAGATCAGAAAATTTGTTTAAATGTAATATGAATGAAATTGAAACAGAATATCACTTTTTACTAGTTTGTCCATTTTGTAGGGAATTAAGAAAAGAACATTTATCGAAATATTATTGCTCTTGGCCTACCTTAAATGAATTTATATCTTTAATGAAAAAAATTAAACATGGAACTGTTAATTGAATCTACTTTGCAAATGCATTACGTGATACAACGAATGATTGATTGATTGTGTTCAAATAATGATATTGGTTTATATAGCATACTATTATTTACAAACATATATTGAAATACAATGTATATGTGTTCTTTACAATATAAAAATGTTAATGTAAAAATTATTTGTATTCAGTTACATACTTTTCTCATATACTATTTGTAACCGTCATTCTGTTTATGGCGACGGACATTGTAAAATGTATATGCCTTTTGAAATAAAATCTTGAATCTTGGTGCTCATTTCTCTAGGCGCATGCCCAGGGCAATTTAATAATTAATTAGTAGTGTTTTCTTTTATGCTTAATTCTAAGGCATTGGGTAAACAGTACATATTTAAAACAAACTACAGTCAATTACATTTTTTGTGCTCCACTGAGATATGGTCGAATGTCACCAAAAAAAAAGTAAATTTTCACGAACCGATAATTTTTTGTTACCTGCGTGTTAGGGACATTTAAACTGAATCAGTGATACATTGATATGTGTTCTTTGGCTTGGCAATTCGATTGAAATATATATTTTCTCCAATTTCGTGGGAAAAGCGTTTAAACGCCTTTCAGTTTGCAAATCTGAATATAAACAACGGTCACGTGATGAGTCTCGGGATGACTAAAAAGCGAAACGGAGAATTTTTGTGTATCGGCAGCAAAGGAGCGCGAAAGTGGAATATACCAACATTGCATAAATTTAAGAGCAAATTATTGGCCTTATTTGTTAAATTTCTTGTTGTGCATCTATGTTCTTGTGAGAAATATCATTCAGAAGCAAGTTCAATACACTTTAACCATTATATTGTTGTAATCATGTTTTTCTACTCCCTTACGATTATGAATTTGGCTGGAAACTAACTTACACAAGCTTTACAATATTCTATGTTAAATTGAGTGCGACCGTGTTATTAATAAATATTATGTATTAACTTTGTTATGGTTAAAATATCAAGATATCTGGGCTAAAAAAATGTCTTTTATCAAGACAGTGTGAAGGGTCCTATTTCAAAGGTCACTTTCGTTTATCTGACACCAATTCAGGAAAAAACAACGTAATACCTTTTATACAACGAACAAGATCTTGAGTATTGTAAGCATCAAAAATCACACGCACATACACAATACAAAGAAAACGATTTCTATTTCTCTTTAACTCGGATCAAAGCACTAAAAGCACTGGCTACATAGGGAATGAATCGGGCCACATACTAGT